CCAATAATATGCCAGCGCAACTTGTCTACCTCTTCTTCCAGCTCCAGTATCTTCTCGTCAGTCCTCAGGGTGCGTGCGTTATATGTTGCCAGGTCGAGTCGTCGTAGGTGGCAACTGAACCGCCACCGGAGATTCTTAGCACCCCCTTCCCCGCCGTTACCATGGTCGCCACCGTAGCCAGGAATAGCGGGCCGCCGGGGACTGGGGGTCGTTTGTTTGCGTCGTTATTCATAGGGGGATATTTGTCATAGTTGCCACGGTTGGCGAGCGGGTTGGCAACCGCAGTTTTTTATTATATCACAGTTGTTATCAGGAAGATGCTGCTGCCCATCTCCTGCTTGTCTCCCTCTGTCGCCTCTTACGACACCCACGGGAAGATATGGGGTAGTGGATATTCTCAACCGCCACTACGAGGGTGGCACTGAAAATATCGGGAATCAAGGAAGTGACACAACATTACTATTTAAAAATATATTTATTGCTTTTCGAAGTATTCTCCGCGAAATTTGACACACTTTTCCATACGATGGATCCAATCATTGAAGCAACCATTCCATTCGGAATTTGGGGTCTCCAAAATGGCCGTTTTGAAGGCGTCCACAGCTTCTTCAGGTGATGAAAATCTCTGTCCATGCAATTTATTCTTTATTTTAGGTAAAGTATAGAAATCATTAGGGCTTAGGTCGGGGCTGTACGGCAGATGGTCTGTGTGCGGTGTGAGAACTCGCATTGTCATGATGGAGGATGATGCGGCGGTTGCAGTTCTTTTTACGGAGTTCAGAAACGACCTGTGGCAAACAAATGCTAGCATACCATTATGCATTAACCGTTCTTTGTCTCTCAAGAGGAATGATGGAACATGGCCGGTTTTGGAGACAAACGTGGCCACCATTTTTTTTGCAACACTCCGTGAACAAACAATTTTTGTTGACTTTTCAATTTTCAAATTTTCATTTTCAAACACCCAAACTCGTGACTGGTTTTTTGTTTCGGGTTCATACGCATATATCCAGGATTCATCACCTGATACGATGTTGTGTACAGCATTTGAGGATCCTGCGTGGAATCTTTCGAGAGTTCTGACTCACCAAGTAACGCGAGCCGCTTTTTGCTTATCACAGTGCGAATGCGGTATCCATCGGGAAAACAACTTTTTTAAACCTAATTGTTCATGCAAGATTATTTGTATTTAACTCATGCCAATGTCTAAAGTTGCCTGAATTTCTCGCATGTTGATCTTCCTCAATCAGCTTACGCACAGCATCAACGTTTTCTTGGGTGACTGCAATTTTTGGACGGCCTTGACGGGGACCATCACTGAGCTTGACACGTCCATGTTGAAATTCAGCAAACGAGCGACATATTGTGGTTTTGGGTGGGGCTTCATCACCGAATGCAGAAATCATCCGGTCAACACACTGTTTTTGTGTTAAACCACTTCGAAAGTCATAATAAATCATCGCTCTTGAATTTTCTCGAGTCAATTCCATTTTCTCGACAACGAAACAAGTTTGACAAAACCTTGTGACAAGACCGAGAATCTTTTTTTAAATAAATAAATGGTATTCGATTTTTAAAACCAAGGAGTTTTCAATTAAAAAGATTTTGATATGACAGGAACAGTGGAAATATTCCATTCCCGATACTTTTAGTGCAGCCTGTGTACACGGCATTAGTTATTAGTTAGAGAGTATAATAATAGATATTAGGCATTATATCTTAGTGCTCAGGGGTGACACGAAACTGTTGTATTAAAATGGCAGGTGTCCTACTTACCGTCATTAAAAAAAACAAGGACTGCTACATGGTCCTAAGCAACCTGCATCTATCAATTGTACATTTTCCGGACCGATACGATTTGGGAACTTTAAAAAGAAACTCCTTTATAAAAAGGCCGGCAACTCACCTGCAATTCCCCTTGTGTCAGATGTTCATTGGCAATGGTTATCACTTAATATCATGTGAGCCGTATGCTCGTTTGCCTTCTCTAGCGTAAAAAATAAATAAAAAAGGAATACAAAATATTAATGGACGAATACCAATAACTCTACGGAATCCTGCAAGCCTATTAAAGATATATACTTACCGCAAACATTAAGAAACAGCTCATTATAGAATGTAATTAATATGTGCGCCGATACGGCACGGGACAGTTGACCGATGGACAGATGGAAAGTACGATTTGAAAGTTGGAAAAAAAAAATTAAGCTATATAGTCACGTGGATGTCATGAGACACGACAGTGGGAAACAAACGAGATATGTAGCAGCGAATTCCTAATACAAAAAAAAACTGTGGTTACCTGGTGGGTACCAGGCAAGCATGACAAATATGGCTAAATAAGGAGCTATGGAGGCCATTGTTCCGCAGTGGAGTTTTGCTAGGCATTATCATATTATGATGAATGAGATAGTATTAGGCTGTCAAGATCAGAATACCAGCGTAAAACAGCATCCTAATGCTGCTGTTTTGTTGGTTAGTGTACAGAACTAGACACTTTTTACTAGTAATGAGATATCCCATTATAGGTTTTTTTTTTAATAAAATAAGGTGGCAAACGAGCACACAGTCCAACTGATGGTATGTGGATGCTGTGGCCTATAGAAATCTAAATTTATCCTCAATTAAGAATCAAAATGCAAATGCGTTGTCACCCCTGAGGACTGAGATGGCATGTCGCGTAAAAAGTATCTCCGGTTCTCTAGACTCACCATACGAAACACAGCGGTACCAAGCTGCTATTTTACGCTGGTATTCTGTAAAAGCGTGGACCTATCCCGGTCGAGCCGACCCCTTCGTGCTACAACCATAATATAGCTGCAACGTGGCTCCACCACGTATAAGTTCTAGGGGATGACAACGCATCCGCATTTTGGTTTTTAACCGAGGATAGATGTAAAACATACTTTATTGTAACACAGACCATTCTAACGTGACTATATCATGATCCGCTGACAGAGTAATATTTATGATGAGGGTGTTAGAGTTAGGCTATTCTACAAACTATGATACGAAGCAGTAGGAATAATGTATGAATGCAACACATATGAACAATAATTATTTTTTCATAGTCATTTCGCATCATATGGAATCAAAAATAAATATAGCGATTGATATAATACTAACTTAGAAAACTGTACGACAAACGTTTTAACTAGTCATATTTATCCATGTATGCGTAAATTGCTTAAGTGTGTTCCTGTGTACGATTGTATTCGTTTATATTTAAATTATTTAATGCATCCAGTTTCACGACAAATGAATGCATCGTTTCCCGCGCGATTTTTGCCATTGGAATGAATACGCCATTTTAATGGTGTGCATGAAATATGAATATTGAAAAATTACTACAAATATCTGTACGTGATCCACTTACACATACTTTATTTGATTTTGTTTTAGTATTTATTAGTTAAAACTAGCTAGCTAGACTGGTAAAATATAAGCATTCGCCATGTTACGGAAGTTCACGAAACTAATTTTATTTACTGGCAACAATAACGGTTAGCTTTATCTGTCAATGTGTCAACGTGAGCTTGTGAGCTTTAAAAAATGCAGAAATTTCTTTGTGAATGACAGTAAAGCTTATTTCGTATAATTTGGTATTACACTTTAATAAATTATTAAAGTGGTAGGTTACGAAAAAAGATAGATTAAAATGAAAGAAAAATATACTTAACTCAATATCTGACTTATACCAATACAAAAAGATTTTAGAAAAATTTGATTCTCTTAATATGAAATAATACTGTGGACTGGTACGCTGACATAACAGTGATATTAAATATTATAGTGAAGTTAAGTATTTTGCTGGCGTATGAAATCGTTTGAATATTTTTTTCTAGGAAAGCTACTTTTTTGTGAATAATTTATTCACAAAAAAGGAGCTTTTCTATGTTTTCAGCCGACTTTAAAAAGAGGAGACTTTTTTCAACTTTGTTCTCAATTCTAGATGAACAGAATTTGGTAATCCTTTTTGTTTGAAAGCTGGTGCTTCTCGTGTGGTTCCATATTAATTTGATCAAGATCTGACCTGTAGTTTTTGAGTTATGCTTAATTATGACTGCGACTATATTGATGATATTCTCATTTTATTTATTTTGAAGTCGGTTGTGTTCGGCAATACAGAAAAATAGTACGCATCTATTGGGCGCATCTATGTGAAACCTAAGTATATCAAATCATCAAAAATAACTATTGGTGAATGAGGTTAGTACAACTCCTTGTAATATTGCTTTAACATAATGTCGGTATATTTATAGTATATATTTATATATTTAAATTATTTTCCCTTGTTATAATTATAACACTAAGGATATTTTTGCATCAGAAGCCGGCAGATTGCGTTAGTATATAGGTAGTGATATTGAATTAAATTTAAGAACTAATAAACCTATCTACATACATTTCATAAATGTATAATACTACTTAATAACAAGTTCTAAATGGGATATTTTTTATAACACAACTGGTTAAAATAATTCGATTTTATAAATGCCTACAAAAATGTCATTTTTATTATATTGAGAATGAATGTTATTAATTATAGAATCAATAGCAAAACCATAACATAAAAAAGGAGCTGACTCCATGAACTTTGAAATTTTACACCGCGATGTTAATTACAGTAAAGGTGATTTTCGATTACACGCTAGCACCACTATTACGAAAGGTCATAACAGACTAAAAACCACGCCATAATAACCGATCGTAGGTCAATAACATAAGGGCTGTATTTCTGTGTATTTATAGAAAGAAGTCTAAGAGCTAATAAATTAACATGCTTTAATGACCTAATCAAAGTTTACGACGCAAGTCGAATCCTCGACTCCTAGTGTTGGGCGATTGACTCATTTTGCGTTGAAAAAAAAGAGAGAACCGGCGGGCGACCGTAATTATTTTTTGGAGTTTTATGAAGATTGGAATTTTTGTTAACACGAGCGTTTTACGGGCGCGCCTTGATTTACGAGGCTTCCTGTTGTCTCGCCGGGAACACTCACCCATTGCATCTGGAACAAAGAGATAGCGCATTTAAAATAACGTTTTTGCATATGCCAAGAGCCGAGGTGTCTCGGGGGTAGGGCGCTCGCCCTAAATATTACAGAAAGCGAGCAAGCAGAACTCGATCATTGGACTGCACTATTTTTAACCGACATCAAAATGGAGAAGGTACTCAATTCAACTTTATTTTTTAATGTGTGTTAGCTCAGAATTTTTTCTATGTGTACCGATTTTAATAATTCTTATTAAATTTGAACGCTGGTGCTTTGTTTGTGGTCCCATATAAATTTGATCAAGATCTGAGCAGTAGTTTTTGAGTTATACGCGTTGGTTGTACAATATTTTTAATTGTAATGCTTGTAAATAGTAATTTTGCGTACTGACGCCTTACTATACGACAGTAAAAGATCATATTAATAAGCCTGCATGTCTAATAAATAAAAAAAAAAATGTTTTGACATTCGTGATATTCCTTCTCAATTCCTCTCAAAATAGTGAACTGTGACTTACAATGGGCCTTCTAAGACTATCTATTAGAAACGATTTTCCTGTGAACACACTTTCTTAAAAATTACATAGAACAATATCATTATTAGAAAAAAAAACACAAAATGTCAATTTGTCAAATGCAGTTACGGGACGTTTTATTACCTAAGGGACGGATTTCAAATACAAATTATAATTTCTAGTGTATTCAATAACAGCTGTGTGATACCATTCACTTCTCCTTCATCAGCTCTTAAGAGCTCATTAGTGGGAATCTCTTATTGTAGACGGGACTTCCATCAACAAGCTTTGCAGGAGATTGGCGATGACCTTTGATGTCGCTTACCATCGTACGTCAGGGTATTTTACGCCTAGCGTAAACGAGCCAGCTAAACCGCCATTTACCGCCATTATCATCCCATCCCGTCGCCTCTTACATACTACTATTACAAATGATTAAACAAAGAATTTTGTACAATCGACTTTAATACGACCGAATCAACCTATTCGAAGTTAATTAAATACGCATTATTAAAGATAACTGAAAAACTACTGGTCAGATCGTGATTAAATTTATAATGGACTACACGACAAGCGCCGGCTTTTAGAAAAAAAAAAGAATCATAAAAATCGGTTCACCCAGAGAAAAGTCATGAGGACTCGAACTGAATACCTTCTCGTTTTTGAAGTCGGTAAAAAGAAATGAAGATTTTGTTGCTTACAACACATGTTCGCAAGGGCTCAAACTTACTTGGTCTGTGCCATAAAAAGGTGCTCTGTGCCATTGAAGTATCTAATATAAATGACGTAAGTACATTTTTCATAGAATACATAATAGTATTTATACTCGTACTTGAATCGTCTACCTACAACCACGCGTCCCCACTGATGCACAGATTTTGTTCGCAGTGTCTGTTCTAGTACGTAGTAATATTACATCAATGTTTATGTCCGCCATATTTACATATGTCATACAGCCTTTGTTTCCCTCCAATTATGACAAAAAAACGATGACTACTTTGAATGTTCCTGGCGGACATAGAATATATGATTCTACCAAAAATATATCTCTTTTTGGGCCTCGGCACAATCGAGTAAATATGTAGAAATTGATTCAGAGCAATAAATGTTAAAACAATGACCGGATCCTTTACGTTATCAGCTCTTATCAACGTCTAAAAGGAGCTCATATCACATTATCAAGACGAATTTGACACATTGACAGCTGATACATGACATTTTGACAGGTGATGCAAACGAGTGCTAAGGGTTAGTGTACACTATCGGTATGTTTGCGTTTTCGTTCTCAGAAACATATTAAAATCGTCACATTAGCGTGGCTCTTTGGTCTGCTTGCAGATGGGCTGAGTTGTTTAGAACAGCGTAGCTCTACCACTATACACAGTATTGTATACGTGGTAGAGCCACGCTGCAGCTGTATTATGGTTGTAGCACGAATGGGTCGGCTCGACCGGGGAAGGACCACGCTCTCACTGAATACCAGCGTAAAATAGCAGCTTAATACTGCTGTGTTTCGTATGGTGAGTGTAGAGATCCGGAGACCCTTTTTTACTGGAAACGAGGCATTCCATCTTAGTCCTCAGGCGTGACAAGGCATCTGTTATTTGATTCTTAATCGAGGATAAATGTAGATGTCTATGGGCCACAGCATCCACTTACCACCAGATGGTCTGTACACTTGTTTGTCACAATTATTCAAAAAAAAAATACTTTGTTCTGTACATAGCTAAAATTTAACGATTAAAATGTTATATTCACCATTACCGTTCAAGCACATCAAAGTCCACTGCTGAACATAGGTGCATAGATTGCCATATAGAAGGGACATGCGCCATAGTTGCCACGCTTGGCAGTCGGGTTGGCGACCGCAGTTTTTCATTTTTTCAGTTGTAGTTAGGAAGACGCTGCTGCACTTCTATCTGCTTTGTTTCCCTCTGTGTCCTCCCACGAGACTCACGAGACGATATGGGGTGGTGGTGGTGGTGCTGGGATGCTGAATATTCTTATTAGTACTTATAGAATATAATTATTTTGGTATAATTCGTGTGAGACTCAAGTACATTGGGTCAGTCCGCGAGCGAATCCGCGTGTCTGAGGTAGTGCTAAATAAATAATTAAAGTAACTTTTTCCCTGGCTTGGTCTCGAGGCATGCCCGGTTGTTGCCCGGTTTAATTCTATTTACATTCCGCGAGGAGAGCACGAAGGGCCGGTGCCCACGCACGCAGTTAACTACCTGGTTGCCGCTTAACTGTTTGGAACGAAGAAATATTCTGCTTCCAAATTATGGATATTAAAAAAAAAACTATGATCACGTGCACACCCTACTAATAGAGGCCCATATCCACTATTGTTTACAGGCATCCAATGAATGAAAATGCACATGCATATTTCTACTGTGTCAGTTTTGTTAACAAAACTACCAATTATATTTAAAAAGAAAAACATAATTTAAGAACAATTTATTGAAAAGACAATTTAGAACAAAATATTGCGACACGAAACGCTATATTCTCTACATCTTTCACAGATAATCCCAAAAGAAAATATTTTGCTGGACTGTTTACAAATTCTGAAACAAGGCGGATTAAACGTCGTTTAAATGGTTTTTGGTTGGTTTGGATTTGAAACTGTTGACGTTAAGTTAGCGAACACGATATAAAGCAATACTATACTTCATACTTAATAAATAAACGCTAACTTAGATAGAGTTTATTGAAGTTAAGCATTAACAATTTCTCGGAATGCATCCATTCCAACGCTTAATCATCAGCGCGCTAAGTGTGCGGTGCCACCGGCCGCCCTCTGTGACGCGGCCATACTTGGAAATGTACGTATGATTCCACTTACTGAATACGCGACGGCTTACATGCGCGAAATTTATGCCGGTATATACTACGAAGACTTAAATATGACTATGTTACTTAGTGCTTTATACGTTCTTCGAAAATGAGAATGAAAATTTACAATATTTATTTTTCGTCCTAAGAAATTCAAATTCCGCTTGAGACACGCTTACACGTACGTCTAGGCAAGCAAACGCGCTTCAAATACTTAAGGTTACAACCTATGTAAAGTCCACTGCTGAACATAGCATCCCCTAAAGATTGTCTCATAGGGGGGATATTTGCCATAGTTGCCACGCGTGGAAAGCGGATTGGTAACCACAGTTTTACTAATTTTTAATCGTTATTAGGAAGACGTTTCTGCCCATCTCTTGATGTGTTTCCCGTTGTCGCGTCTAATGACATCCACGGCATGATATGGGATAGTGGTCTAACATCACAATCCTAAAAGACAAAGGCAAGAAAAGGAAAAGTCAAGGCAAGACGTAAAAGGCGACAGAGGGCAATTGAAGCGGAAAATGGGCAGCATAAATAGCAACAAGCAGTGTGCTCGTCTGTTCCATATTTATGCTGCCTATATTCTTTAAAAAAAGTTGTCACTTGATGGTAAATGGAGGCTGTGGTCATAGACATCTACATTTATCCACGATTAAGAATCTAGATACAGATGCGTTGTCACGCCTGAGGACTAACATGGAATGCCTCGTTTCCAGTAAAAAGGGTTTCCGGTTCGCTATACTCACTATGTAAATCAGGAGCATTAAGCTGGTATTTTAGATGGCATCCTGTGAGGGTGTGATCCTACCCCAATCAAGCTGAAACCAAACGTGCTGAAATCATAATATAGCTGCAGCGTAGATCTACCACGTAAACTTTCTAATAACGACTGAAAATAATAATCGAACTGCGGCAGCCCTGCCTACTAAGCAAAATCTATATCTAATAATCTATATCTAGGCAAAATATGAAGCAATCAATAAGGAGACTTATTTATATCAAAGGTGGTCTTTTAATAGGAAAGAATACTTCTCAAGACGTGTATATGTGAGCCTTCTCTTATAGAGTTGCGTGCCTCTCCGGCGAGTGGGAGTCAGTCTTAATAAGCGGCTTATATACAATAATAGCGGTGCATACGAGCCGACAGCGGCCGCCTGACGCGCCGTCTATTTATACCCCACGTGACCCGGGAGCCCGCTTTGACAATCTCAACGTTCCCAATTCTGTTCAAACGTCGAAAACATAGCCGTTACAATAATTTAAAGAAATTGCTATTTGGCTAATCATGGTCTGTAGCTACGACTGCTTATATTTTATCTGTGACTCCGTTATTCCTCTAGAGCTGGATGTAAAGAATGGACTAAACGTTTCATATATCGCAATATAGTCAACAAAAAGTAATCTACGGCCAATTTGTCATTTTAAAAGACTTGTAGTGGCTTCTTTACGTCAAAGACATGCATTTACTTTTTATTTATCTTTATTATTACAGATACAACTAAGAATTGCACAAACAGCTGTTGTTTTTCGACAATTATCAATTCTCTAATAACGGTCAGAATAATTTGAAGTCAGTTTTTTCTTGTGATAAACAATATGATGTGTTAGTTATTATTTCAGAATTAACTAATCAATCATATATATCAGATTAAGAT